CAAGTCGTCAAGAACAATAATGTACATGAGGACACTACTTGCCGATGTTAATTCCGACATTTGAAAACTATAATTGCATGCTTGCTTCTTTAATATTCCAGTAAATACAAAGAGTTATGTAATTTCATTTCTTTAAGTTTTATCATAAAGTCTTCAGAGCGTTTTGTTTATGTTCAAACATCCAGCATTCGTAAAACATTCATACCAACTTAAAATCAACAGTTTATTACAATGACACTTTATAAAAGTTAGAAATAAACTGCTCATAAAAATTAGAATGAAAGCAGCTCAAAAGTTTTATGTAATATTCAAGCTCGATCAAGAAACTGCAGTTGGTCTTCAAATCTTGAATATTTGTCAGCAAAAAAAAACAAAAATTACTTCACAACTTGAGATATCATACAAAAAAATGAATGAATCCTCTCAAAAAACGAATATCTAACAAGCTGCATAAGAAGTAAATTATAAGTTATTGGAAGTAGCAGTGTTTATAGATTACATAACCAGGAAGAGAAGTTGATACCAAAATCTTTAGTAATCATAGATTTTTGAAGTATTCTGGCATCTACCTGTACGTAAATGACAAAAATTCTACTAAATTAAGATTAAATGCTCTACTAAAGCAGAAATAATGACACGTCAGGGCATATAATAAGCAAGTAGCAGAATTTTGATATTCTCAGAATCAATTATCCAGATCTTTCACGTACACATACGGAACTAAAAATCTCTAGACCAAATTAATTATTTTCAAAAATCAAATATGGAGTTTTGCATACGAATCTTCATGAATCAAGCCATTAACTTGATTAAACTATTGTCATGGAATAGAGAACTCATCTAAAAATAGTGAAGACACGGATGGCAATATGTTGGCGAGAGGAATCAATTCTGCAATAAGTTTGTTTAGATTGTATAATAAATTTTATTCTGATATATCATTAGTTTTAAAGAGAATCTTTCAAATGTAAAAGAAAAGGATGACCGTAAGAAAAATCGTCCAAACTAAAAAAATAATATCGGGAAATGGAAAAGTCGCACACCTTACGTCTGAATAGACGTTTCAAAAATCCAAATGTATCATTCGTCTCATTTCTGGTGTTTTCATTCCTAAACGAATCATTCCGCAAATCCGATGTTAACTCCCCGTTCACTTCCATGACATTAAGTTCTTGGAAGCATTCTGTTTCAATCATCTATAATCTATCTTATATACACAAATCGGCAAATTCAAATATTTAATAAGGTCTTTCAACACTTCACGCTATTATGAACTCCAATTCAGCAAAAATTAGATGACATGATAATCTTTCAACATTCACTGATAGAAAGATGCCATATTATTTTGCAATCATTACTAGGAAACAATTTTAGCAAAACCAGAAGCCATGCTAGTTAATTATTACTATTTTTTAATGTCTTTGAAAAAACCAACAGGCAGATTACAGGAATCTCGCTATGAAATTCAGCTTACTAAAAACCTATTCTAAAAAACTATTTCTATCTCATATAGACGTGAACTTATCAAAGAATTGGAAGTTTTACACAGCACTAGAGTCAAAAAAATAAGAAGCATTTCCGTAGAACGGAGCAATATCAGTGGAAAAGCGAGACTACACTTTCAAAAAAATATAGAAAGCTGAATTAATGCTGATTATTAGGTTCTCTAAACAGTAAGAAAACAAAATACATTATGTTTTACCTCGTTTTGCCACGGTATAGAAACACATCCAGTACTAAATTTACCGTAAAACCGGCTATCAGTAGCATCCAAACGTACACCCTTCACAGTGCTGAATTGCTCAATATCAAGAACATCTTTGGCATAAACCGCTCTGGGATCAGGACAAAATGGTGGCGTCAACTAAAAGAAGATAAGAGCAATTTAATGAATTAAATTTGTATTCCTTAATGGAATGAATATGATTAGATTAGATTAGATTAACAGTATTATCAAAAAATCAGTATACCAAAGCTCTTATTTTCACCAGAACCAGGGTTTCCAAGTTTTGAAAAATTTTCAGCTGAATTCTCAAATAATACAATCTCAACTTTAATTTTTTCACGAACTTGCCCTAGTAAAATGAAGGCTTAGTAAGCTGACACCTTCATTTACCGATTGTTCAATTACTATAAAACCTCAGTTAATCCAGTAATAGTTCCATTACACATTACTACGCCAAAGCTCACATACTTTTCCTGCTTCCATTTTCTTCCAAGGCACTGGCTCTCTACCTACGCTAGAATCGCCTTGTGAGAAAAATGCATGTCTTTTAAGTTCCTCCGCACCAGCTTCAGGTTTACCAACACTGCGACATCCAAGTCGAAAACCTGGTTCTTTGTGTAAGAGACCTCTGAAAGTAGATCAATCAAAATATCAAAAAATAAAAATATATGACCGATTACTATTATATATATATATATTCATCGACTTGACACTTGTAACTAATATGAGATTACATTCACATATTTGCTATGCCACTTAAATATCTATTCTACGATCTCGAACAAACTGAGAAACAATCAAATTATTGTACGACAAATTTATTGACCGTCATCACTTAAAAAGTTACTTATGAGCTTATTCATAACACAAGGGACTGAAATCAACTTTAGCATGAAAAATGAGTAGCAGTTTGGCAATAGCAATATGGTTTCAGCAGATATCTGCCAAAAAAAAATGAAGGCAAATTTCCAGGCCGTACACATTTCAACTAACTGTTACTGCTACATAATCAGTCTTTGCTTCTTCAGTGAAAGGACTGAGAAAATTGGCCGAATTTGGAAAAGTTTGAGGGCATGAAGCAGCAAAAACCAGTGACTGTGGGCGAAAACAAGAAATCATTCAATTTAGTATTTGATGGGATCAGTCGCTACAATTCACTGCTGATTTCTAATTCAAATAAATACTTTGGTTAAAAAATATTACAATATAATGGTTAGCTTTCTAAGTAAGGCAGGTCAATAGCTCATCACGGAAACTAACAGCTTTTTGTTCCAACAAATCAGCAAAAAAATTTACAGCAAGCCAAAAAAACAAAAAAAACATTCATATAATAAATCAACAGAATAAATTTCAACCTTTCTGTAGCAGAATAATGGACTTACTAAAGAAACATGTGAGCAATGAATTAATATGTATCCCGAATAATTGTATGACTTTTCAAAGCAGAAATTCTCGCAATCACGAATTTAATAAATAACTAAAAGTTAACAGTCAAATGAAGCAGTCATAACAGGTAACTCTGTGACTTCACTAAAAAGTTCGGAATTCAAATGCAAAGTAGGACAACAACACTGTTTCCTATGAGTTACAATAAATAAAAAGTATAATGGAAACCTGCAGACAGTCCTCGCGGATTCACTAAATTTGTTTGAATACTTTTCTTGATCGTCACGAATCCGTCGTTCAACTTCCTCACGTTTAACTTTTTCCTTTCGCTGTCGAAAAGGAGCCTGAAAGCCAGTGATAAAAAGACAGAAAATTGTGATGAATATTTTTGCTGAAGAATCAGTCATAACAAATCAGATGCAAAAAATTAAAAGCAAAAATTCAACCTTTCCTTCAATCATTTCGTATATTAAGCAACCTAATCCCCACCAATCAACACCATACGAGTATCGTTCATTTTTGATAATTTCTGGAGCTGAAAATTGCGCCAGTCGAAAATTTAATCAAAAATAGTAGGAAAAGGCAGACAACTTGATTTATTTTACATGAGTTGCATTTGTGCTGAAAGCAATCAAGCAATGAGTTTCATTTTAATGAGTATGAGTATAAATTTTCTAGATTTGTGAAGAGCTAAGTAATCAATACATGTCAATATAATGGTCAAAAAGGAAGTTTTGATTGCTAAAATTAACATTCAGAAGCTGGATGTCTGCTCTGTTTATTATATTTTTGGCGCAGTAACTTATAAAATCATTAAGAAATGAATAAATTTGCATCGTCGAAATTGTTATTATAATTTTTAATTTTTTTCAAGCAAATATTAAAACAACTCACCCATATAGCCAACTGTACCAACACGACCTTTTATACATTCGTTGTCTCTGAGTTCTACAGCTAGTCCCAAGTCTGATATTCTGACATGACCTGTGATGCCACTTGCTTTTCAACTTTTTTATTGATAGACTGAACTAAATCTGTTATGCAAACTTTTTTACTCTATAACTGAGTCAACATATGCCTGTTCTAAAGCACACGATTTTAAGAATGTAAAATCAAGTGACAAGTTTGAATGAGATCAATTACATACCGTAATCATCAAGTAGAATATTTTCTGGCTTTAAATCCCTATAAATTATGCGCTCTTTGTGCAAATGCTGCAAACCAAGCGTGATTTCTGCAGCGTAAAATTGTACGCGCTTTTCTTCGAATCCACCAGGCATTAGATTGTACAAGTGAAATTTCAGATCACCTAAAACAAACTTCAAAAATCGTTCAATTACTACTTTCTAATTTAAATAGAAATATATTACGTATATATAACCTCCATTCATCAGTGTCAAAACTAAGCAAAGAGCGTCTTTTGTCTCGTATGCATATGCAAGACTGACCTGAAAATTATTAAAATCATTGCTGACTAATAGTTAAGAAAATTATTCATAAATTGAGCATTCATTTTCCGCATTTCGGTAACTGTGCTACCTGATGATTCATGTAATCCAATATTAATATACTAAAGACGGTTCACGCAATTAACTTCAAGAAAAGTCTTAATTTGCTGATAATATCAAGCCAACGAAATAACACTTTTGATTTGTTTTCATTGGCATATACACAGTTCAGAGGTTTCTCTTGTCTCACATTGCGTGTTGAAATGAATTATTATTGAGGTGGAGAGCAATGATGAAAACCGACAAACCACAAAAGGAGAATTGATCTTTTGAAGGATCTGCTTTTCGTTTAAACTGAGGATTTCTGCATGACGTTTTTTCACCCTTTTTTTTTCTAATTTCTTCAAAGCATACATTTTTCCAGAAGCCCTCACCTCAACAGATGTAAGTTAGGAAAGTAAGAAATTGAAGTTTTTTAAAGTGAGATTATCTTCAAAGGAATAAGTCTATCCTTGAAACAGCTGTTTTCTATGGTTTCCATACATAGTCTTACTTTAATTTCAAATCTCATGTGATAATTATCACCTATTCATACATATTTAGTACAAATCTAAGAAATGGGACTCTGCTAGAAGTATTCGAAATTGAAAATAAAACAACAGTGCATTATAGTTTCGGTTAGCACTCATTTTGTCCTCACTTTCTCTACCATTATTTTAAAAATTATCAAGAAAAACGTTTTAACTACTAAATGTTTTTTCCAAAATTTCTAGTAAGATTTTATTACAGCAACTTTTCGCACACATTTGATTGTGATTTGGAACAGAAAAAGATTAAATAAATTTTACAATCCAAAAGTCGATTTTTCATCTACTTAATACTTTTTTACAAATGGCTAAGGAACAAAAATTCAAACTAATCGCTACCAAAACAATAAATCAGAAGAAATCAGAGCAAATAAAGCTAGTAAGAAGAATTGATCAATTGACTGAGTAAAAGCTAATTAATTAATTAGTTTCATATTTTCAAAAATAAATTTGTAAAAGTTACTAAAAAATGCAATAATGTTATAAATACTAATATTAAATACTATACAAAAAAGTAATAAGTCTGCAAAGAAGCCAAAGTGAAAGGTGAAAATTTACATAACAAAAACAAAATATATGTAGAAAATTTTTAACATGAAAGAATGCGTACTTGACATGCGCAAACTTCTCCAAAGCCTCCTTTTCCGAGTACTCGGTATAGGCGAAATGTGTGTTTATCCACAGGCCTTTTCTCCAACCATTTCCACTGCAAATACCGATGGAAGTACTGAGTTTCCAAGAATTCTCGAAATGGACAATCAGCAAGAAATGATCGAACACGCCTCAAATATAGCACACAGATTTTGTTTTTGATATTTTACTGACCGAACATGATCTAGCATTATATTCCAATTTTGTTTTACACACAAACATTTAGTAGGCTCTGAATAAAACTTCCCTCAGCTAACCTACTGGTAAAAGTTAAAGATGAACTAATGTTTTTGATTCACAACTTGCTGACTTCAGACAAAAATTAGCAAACACAGACATGTAATGAGTCATAGAAAGAAAAAAAAAAGGATCTTTACCTAAATACCCTTTACCCTATAAGTTGCATTAAATGCATTTGTTGTTGAGCGTTGTAATCAAATATTAAAGAAATTTAATTTTTTATCATTTAATTTTGTACATTTATATCGGTTTCAGCTCGTTAAATTTATTTTGAAATTTTGCATTTGTACCTTTTGTTTTGACTTTGATTTGAGATGTGCATATAAGCTAAGTTTGAAATAATAAACTTAGATTGTTGATAAATAAATGCATTAAGTAATATCATGGTAGTTTTAAAACGATGAGATAAAATAGAATGTATTCAAATTCTTAAACGCTCATGGAAATGGGATGTATGACTGTCATAACCATGTGTCATTTTTTCCATTTTCAAATTATGCAGACTTCAAAGTTTGAGAAAAAATGCAGATTTATTCTTTATAATGCAGGTAAGGCTGTAAATTGCTTTAATCATGTAAGATTTGGTTTTTTAATTTCACTTAAGTCCATAAGTAAGGTATTACTATGAAATTAAAGTGTAATTTTGATGGAATAGCCTATTTCATCTTAATCACTGGTTTTGCTCTGTTTTCGTTTGCTGGCTGATACGAGCACTGTTATTGTTTTAAAGTTGCAATAGAACAATTTTTTGAGTAATAAAGAATTAAAAATGGTAATTTTTTGGAGAAATTTGGATGGAGTATTATCATCTATTTTGAATAAATATCAGTATCAACCGCTTTTTAGTTGAGTAAAAGCATTCTTTCACGAAAATGTTGCTAAGCATTACTTTCTTGTTCACTTCATTCACTTATCATCCAAACAATAAATGGCAATTTAGTTTTAGATGAGATAAACTGTTCCTTCATTACTTTTACCGACTATGATAGTAAAAAAATATTAAATGAAAATATAATAAATTGGCAAAGTAATTTTCTAGATTTTGCAAAGTATATTTGTCCCTTTTCTCCTAGAATGTATTCGTTTTTGCTGAATGTAAGTCCTCATATGCGTCACATTCAAACATATATAAATGAATTTCTATCCGCTCATCTTTCTCAAATTCTACTTTGAAAAATTCAAAGTAGTCGTTTAGTCTTCTTATTTTTCTAACTTACCAATACATTGTTTACTAAATCAATTTTTTGTGGTTTATTAAAACTATTTACATTTCATAAATTAATTCTGTTTTGAAAAATCATAATAAACAAAAATAAAATTGAAGCCAAAAGTAGCTTTTGCTTTAATTAAAGCCATAATTATTCGTCAGAAGTTTACGCTTTACGCAGAGTATACAGAATTCAAACAATATTATGTCTGTTTTGTAAATATATAGTTTGTTATGATTAAGTCTATTCATAATTCATAATTAATAGATATGATTATATTGCAATTTGAGATTCTCACTCAAGGATTTGTTTCAAAAATTTTCGATTTTCATTTTTTAGAGCAAACCCTTAAATGCTGGCATAAGAAATAAGTTGCTGTGGTCATAACAAAGTGTTATTATTAATTATAGTGTCATAATGGTGCATGAAATTTAAAAAAAATGATATGTTGTCTTTCCTTTAGAGAAGTATTTAAGAAATACTTCAAAAAGTATGGATGGTAATGATAGCGAAAGTGGATTGTTAACAGTAATAAGTGATAATGAGACTGAGTCTTGGAGTTTTCGACGATTGACAGCCTTTGGATTAGTTCTCATTCCATGTGCTACTATATTCGGAAACACATTGGTGATTGTTGCTGTATTTTGTGAACGATCACTGCATAGTGTTACAAATCATTTTATTGTTTCATTGGCTCTTGCTGATTTTTTGGTGAGATATTTATGACCTGTCATTTTTATCAAAGTTATTATCATTTCTTCAGAAAAAGTATTGTGATGAAAAATTTAAGTGCAATTTCTAATATAGTCTTTACTTAGTACTATCAGTCATATTGCTACTGATTTAATTAATGAAATTTTTCAGTGCAAGCACAAATCGTAATTTGATAAATATGTTAAGTAAAATTAAAAAAACAGTATTTATTTGTCTTTTTAATAATAATAATAATAATAATAATAATAATAATTAGCAACAAGTATTTTTTCTATTTAATCATTACTTATTTTTCCCCATTCTGACTCTGTGACTTTAAATCTGTCACTTTTTCAATAACACTAGATATTTGAAAACCATATACTCATCATTAAGAAATGATAAGCAAAGCTGTTAATTATGGAAAATACACTTTTTTGTTGAAGAAATTTGTAAATGTTATGATATTTTATTTAGATTGCTCTGTGTGTCATGTCATTTGCTACATATTTTGAGGTATTTTTTTTTACAAAATTAAAATAGCGCAATTAAAAAAGTTGATTGCCTGAAATTTTTTGTAATTGTAATAAAATTAAAAAAAAATTTACAGATATAAGTCGTTGTTTCTATAGAAATAGTCTTTTCTTCAATTTTATCCTTTCTACATAATCTTTTTCTGTATGTGGCGAGAAAGAGTATTTAATAGAAACAAGGACTGAATTATTTCTGAATTTTTAGATTCAATAAAATATTTATTTGAAAAATTTTTCAAGCTCTCAATCATTGTAAGAATAGTGTACAAAATTTAGTTAGGACTCAAGAGATGCAAAAAAACTTTATCTGCAATATTGCATTTTTCATTTACTGGCAAACAGTATATACAAGCCAGTTTTCAAATTATCTAAATGAATTTAATTATAAAACATCAATCATATTAATAACTTCTAGATGAATTCATATATTTGGGGACTTGGACCATTTATGTGTAATTTGTATATGGCCACTGATGTTGCACTTTCAACGGCCTCCATACTTAATCTTCTTGCTATTTCTGTTGACAGGTATCAAGCACCTATCTAATACACTAAATGCTTATGACAAATGCAGCATGAATCGAAGCTATCGATAAATAAATTTCAGATATGCAGCTATAGCGTGGCCACTTATTTATGTAAAACTTAGTTCTAGTTGGAAAAGACCTAAAGTTATGGTTTCAGCACTTTGGATTATATCTATCATTGTTGGCCTTCCTATTTTATTAGGAGTAAATCATCATGCAGATGATGTTAGTTTCTGTTAATTATTTGATAGTAAAATTAACTTTTTTTTCAAGCTCTCAAATATTAAAGAAGTTATTATACAAAAATTTTGAAAGACCTATAGTATTACTCAGTACTACAGATAACATATCAAAAAGTTTCTTTAATATTTTATTTGATCTTTTATAATATTAATGATTTTATAAGTTAGTTAAGATGAGCTGCTAAAATTATTGCTGCATATTTTCAGCGGTGTGAATTTACAAATGCTGTTTTTATAATTATATCATCATTATTATCATTCTTTTTACCGTGTACAGCTATTGTGATACTTTATACTGTAATACTTTTTCGACTTCATCAGCGAAAAAAAGACAAATACTGGAAATGTGTGAACGAGCAACCAATCCGAAATGAACTTTCTGGAATGTTAACTAGTCGGTCACAATTTACTGCAATGCTAAATTTGTTTATTATATTGCATGTTTATTTGTGAGAGATCGAGAAACTGTGTACATGTTTGAATGGTATACACTTTTTAACCATATGAATTTAAGAAAACCATTTCTCTAAATATTTAGTGCATTTACATGACAAAGCTTTGACAAATTCAAAAAAAGATAAATTTGAGTATAAACGTATGAGAAGCAATGCTTTTTGAGATTACTGAGTTGCACTTGCGCAAGTGTTTATGACATTTAAAACAGAAAACGTTTACCAAAACTAAAAGAAATTGTTTTTTCTATTTGAAATGAGCAGATTTGCAGAAAATGCTGATTTAGTTGCGCATTATGGAAAGCAATTGAAATCCAGCAAATATTATTTTGGATCCAGCAATAACATTGAGGTATTTCATTCTACAAACTTCTGCGTTTTTCAATACTTTTAATTAAAAAAGTGAAAATTAAACGCATAATATAACGCTGGAAGAAAGATTTTTAAAAATTATATACTACAAATTTTGAAAAGTTTTGGTGCGCAGACGCGGATATAATTTTTTTTTGAGCTCTCCTAAAATGAGAATGAAAAAAATAAAGTATAAACACATTTTTTTCTAAAATACTGATAGAAATTGAACTTTTAGTTTGTAAATTAGCTTTATAATTCTGTTATTCATAAATGAAAAATGTCATATTGATTTACATTTTGTGGCAAAAATAAAAATTATCAATTGTTAGAGCTTTTTTCAAGTTGAAAATAAATAATGCAAGCATATTGAATCAAATGTACATGACATTTTTTTCTTGCTTTTTTAACGAAAATTTCTTTAAATGAATTTTAACTTCAGATGCCTTCATTTCCTTTGCAATCTGATGAATTAAATATGAAAGCTACAACTCTACCTGTAATAAAGTTGCAACCATGCCAGATTTCAGTGCAATGCAAATCAACTCAAGTATACAAAAAACGAATTTCAGTAGTTAGACGGTAACTGCTACTTTCTATATTTTGCATTTTTCTGTTTAAAAATTTGACTTAATTCTGGAAAAATCAAAGATTGGCATCAAAACTGCTATGTTTACAACTGAGAATTTTAATGGTGAAAGTTTATTTTTCGAATATAATAAAATTTAATTTGTAAAACCTATATTTTCAGAGAGTTTGAAGAACAAAAGTGCAATTTTTTGCCATATATCACAAATACTTGTAATCATCATCGCCCAACATCTCATAAAATGCATTACAATGTTAATCAGCAAAATACTATCGAGATGATCGAACTGGATAACAGTTTATTTGAAAGAAAATGCTTTCTACCATCTTACAATATTGAAAAAATGTTGAGTTCTAGCAAAGTTTGTAATGAGTAAGAAACCAGCTTTGTTCAATCAAGAAAACTTCCAATTTCTGCATGCTTTCAAGTTTTCACTCATTCAAAGTCTTCTGGATCAATGTCAAAGTGTAATTTTGCTTGCATGAAATTTTTTGGCTTCAAGCGCAGATAACATAAGTATTTTTGAATCCAACTATTTTTCATAGTATTGCACAAAATGTGCAGAATATTTTTTGCTCCTTTCCAGTACATTATAGATTACTTGTAAAAATTTGCATACATTGACAAATGATCAAAATCACTTGAATGTTTTTCTTTCTACTTTCTTCATCTAAAAAAATTTAAGCTACTTTATAACATTTTCAAAGTTGATATTATTTACTTCCTTCATTTTTATAAAATCAATTTTCAAAAAAAGCTGGGATTAAGCTCAAGTTAAATCATTATAACATTTTAAAAATCATATCTTGAATTTTTTCTTCAATATATTAAAAGCCATTAAACTGTAAAATAATTATCAATCTCTTCAGTTCATTCATAAATTCAAATGCAGATCTGAAATTGATGGCGCAACGACAAAAATGGATGCTATAAAAAAGAAATTTTTTGGTCAAAAACAATCTAAGAGGCAGGTTTTCAAAATAACACGACGAAAGTTACGACGTGAACGGAAAGCAACAATTACTTTGGCTGTAGTGCTTGGTTAGATCATTTTTCTATCTTTGTTTTGTTCAAAATTTTCATTCGTACTGTTTTAGTATAACAAAAATAGCAGGTGGGAATATTGCATTAGTGCAAATTAACATGCATTTTTATTCTATAAAGAATTGCTTGTTTACAATTTAATCAAATAATAATATTAAAAATATGCATTTTTAAAAATAGTTCCTTTATTTATAATAAAGATTAAAATTACATTATTTTAATTTGCAGGAGTTTTCCTTTTTTGTTGGCTACCATTTTTTACACTGCATACAATTAATGCAGTGTGCATTCTGCAAGTTGCTAATAACTGCATTCATTTTAATGCATTTTTTCTTACAACATGGTTAGGATAGTAAGTTTACACTTAATTTGATTATTAAAACGTAAATAATGTTGAAATTTTATTCCAAAATAAATAAATTATTTATTTTTAACAATAGCTTGTGAAAAATAAAGGAGCAGATTTTTTAATTGCTAAATTTTAATCATAAAATTTACTACTTTCAGTTTCAATTCGTCGTTAAATCCATTAATTTACACATTATTCGACAGAAGATTTCGGAAAGTATTTCGCCGAATATTACCATGTGGTGCCAGAAATCCTTGACTTATATGCTATATTTAATTATTTGTAAACTTGTATTATTTTTCTTCAGTTCTACAAGACTGTACCTTTATTCATTGATTTGTATTCACAAAATTTGTGTGAGACTTTTTAATTCAGCAATAAAGTTCATCACCATCATATTAATAAATTACTTTTGCAATGTTAATAATTTTCGCAAGCAAGCAAAATTATAAGTGATTGGAAGTAATGTAAAAAAAAAAATTATAAAAGCTGAAATTCAACGTGTCGAAATTCGTCAAGTTATACACAAATATAAAATTCTTGAAAAATGATATAAATAATTTAACACTTTTAATGAAAATTTTTCCAACAACAATCAAGAAATTTTAGCTTTTTGAAGTAGAGCTACGTAGAGAAATTATGGTTTATTTGAAAATAGCGTGTTAATATATAAATATTTATATGAATATTTACATGAATTACTGTATTGAAAACAATTTGCTTTCTTTTGCAGCCATTGTGAAAATAATTATTTCAGAACATAAGAAATCTTTTTTTTAACGATATATTTGTAAAAGCAAGAAACGATAAACTTATTAATTGCAATTACGGAAAAAATTGCTTTAAGTACAGTCATAATATTTTTTTATCAAGTTCCATATATTATAAGTTACTAAGTTTCAAAAATGTTTCATTGAATTAAAAATATGACTTTCAGCATTGTGCATTTTTGCTAAAGAGTTCATGAAATGAGGAAGCAAAAAATCTTTTATTTATATAAGCTTTCTTTTTTAGATAAGATTAGTTGTGGTAAGTGACATCTAAAACTGTAATTTTATGCGTTTTAATGTGGTAAAAAAATCAGCATTTTTCTTTCACATAATGATGATATTTTACTGATGAATGTGTACTGATACAAACAAATATTTGCATCAGTAGGCATAATTCATACAAATTTCAGATCTAAAAATTTTGCTGATGCAGTGTTCATTCGTATCTTTTAAATTTTTTGACAATTTTTAGAAATTTTGATTTTCTCAAAATGAATCAAAAACAAGACTTAATCAGTGATGATAAGTTCATTTAATAGCTTGTAAATTACCCAATAAAGTACACTTTTCACATGTTAATCAAAATTGATTTCGAATAATTTAATCTTGCTCCAAAAGAGGAAAAATAATTTAGAATGATTTTGTGCCTACTATTTTTCGGCTTAACATTTATTTCGTTTATGAAAATCAGGCATTACAATGATTTTTTCACATGTACAAATTTATCAACAAATGATTTAGAACTAAAGGTTCATAATACCTCATGTCTAGAATTTGAAAATAATGTCTAATTGTAATTTGGAATTTATATTACAATAATTGATCAAGAAATGCTATTTATTAAACATATTGCACAAAGAGATTAAAAAACTAGAATACTTTGGTAACAAACAAGTTATTTAAAAACTTTTTGGCATGAATAAATTATCTTGGCTTTGAAAAGATATTTGCAGATATATCTAAACATTTTGTCATTCAAGGAGAGGCTATCTGTTATGGCTCAATTCCCTCAGGTGCCATTCGCTGCTCTTTCTTGGTTTTTCCTTTTACTTTTTACTCGACTTTCCTGAATTAACTCAAACAGTTGATTACTTGACTTTTGCTTGCCTAAAACTTCAATTTTGCTCTACAACAAGCATCACTCACATACCAGATAAAAGATATCAAAAAAGTTATTAATTTATATAAAAATGGTTTTGTTTGAAAACAATAAACCAAATCACCTGTTATTTCTGCTTATGTTTACAAAGCGCATTATTGTTGCAGTTTTGCAAACCTTTGGGTTTCCAAATTTATTATGATTCCAGACTGAGATCTGAAAGAAACTCATTCAGTTTCCTAGAACCTACATTGTTCATTTAATATTTGGTAATGACTATGTAAAACGCATTGTTTTAAATCACTTTTGTTGGCATTTTTTGATTAAAAAATGTTTAAAGTAACTAAATTTACTGAAATATATTGTTTTTTTGAGTCTTAAATTATTTGATCGACCATGATTAGTCAAAGAAATTAAGAAAAATAAATTAGTGAACTAGTTTTTGCGCACATGGCTGTTGGCTATTGGTTCATTTTAAAAAATTCAGTGAAATTGTCAAAATAATAACTACTGTCATTAACTTTAGGTTGAAATCAACTTAGTTTTATTTCAAATTTAGTAATGTTAGATAAATTTTGAGGAAAAGTAAAAGAGATAAGATAAATTTAATTAAGTAAAAAGTGGAAACAATTTCAATGATAAAGCCTTATTATTCATGACCATTTCTAATGAATTACGTCGTCGAACTAATTTACCAAAGATAAGTATGAACAGGTATTGATAACGATAATAAAAAGGTTGAAAATACAAAGTATAATCCACATAATAATAGTAAATGTTCCAAATAAGACTGTTAAAGTCGTTTATTGTAAAAGGTAGATAAATATTGGCGGGTTACTTATAACAACAATAACATTTTATGTGGAAATAAGAATACGATGATGTATATCAAAAATTGACTTTCTTATAGCAACAGTAAATATAAAATGCATTATATAATGACAAGCCAGAAAATCGGATTACTTTGAGTACATCTCTGTACGCTAATTTTTTAAGTATGATGATTACTCAATATGAAGGTGTTCAATTTTCACATGTTGCATCAAACATTACCTGAACTTTTACTGACGTAAAGTGGAAAATATCACGCAAAGTAGGTTTCAGACGGTTCTAAACAGACTTGAAAAGATGGGAAATATAAGAGACATCTCTAAATAAACTTACTACCGTATCAGAAAGCAAGGAAGGGGGAAGATCTTCAGAAGAAAGGCTCTAAGGATTGGTGGTGGCTAGTGGGTGGAGCAACTGGAACTTCCAAAGAAAATGAGGGATACCCGAGCATGATGCCAAGTACTGGAAGCAGCAGTCTTAGCTGTTGATTTCCCTTGTGGCTTGACTAGCTTCTCCTAGAACTTTCAACTAGCCATAATCTCGAGTTTTGAGCCTGGAGCCAAGGGTGCAACACCAAAACCTTATCGAGTCATTTCGTTCTTTTTCTTCTTTGCAAGCACTTGCTGTCACGCAGAAATTTCGCATGAAACTGAAGAAGTAGCAGTCATTTGCAATAGGCGTGGTTCTCACTAATAAATAGAGAATTCAAGTGAGCAGCTTAACAAGGCACACGTACAGTCAGCAATAATACGAAGGAATAGCAAGGAATTAAAGAATGAGAAGGAGAGTTTTGCTGGTTGAATGTTTGAGCAGCGTATTACGCTCAGCAAGCATAAAGCGTTAGTAACATCACGTTAGTAGCTGTAACCAAGAAGTAGTCGTACAATTGTCCGGAAGAAGAAAGAATTATTATTAAAATTATTATTATTATTACTATTGAGTATTATTATTATTATTAAAATTATTATTATTACAATTATTATTATTATTAAAATTATTATTATTATTACAATTATTATTATTATTATTATTATTATTATTATTATTAGTGGATGTTTGGTAACTAATTTCGAGATGATGTTCGGTTTCCAAGATGCCACTTTACTGAGGCAAATGAAAGAGGAACCCCT